TCTGGCGACCCGTCTGGGCTCGCGCCGCGGCGGCGGCGGTTGGGCCTCGGGCCTGGCCGCAGCCGGTGCTGGTGCTGGTTCTGGTGCCGGCGGCGGCGGCGGCGGCGGCGGTGACAGTGGCTCTGCCCTGCTCGACAGCATGAGCAGGCCGTGTTTCCTCCGCGGCTTTATCTGCAGCTCGGTCCTGGGCTGCGCGTCTGCGGCGGCCTCCCCGCCCCGCTCGGCGACGGACGCGGGCTCCACCGCTGGCCGGGCCCGGCCCTCCGGAGGGCGCTCCGGACGGCCAGCAGGACGTGGCTCCGGGGGCGTGCGCTGGGGAGGGCGGGGCGGCTTCTGCCGGGCCGAGGCGGGGCTCTCCTGGTCCAGTTCGACAACTCGCCGAGGTTTTGTAGCCGGCCGGGCCCGGTTGCCGACGGGCCGCTGCAGCCCCTCGTCGTTACCTTCTGAAAGTGGTTCTGCACGGCCGGTAGAACGTGAAACGCTGGTGTTCTCCTTGTCCAACTCGACCTCGACCGCATATCTAGGCTCGGCTGCCGGCCGGGTCCGGTCCTTGGCCGGCCGCTGCAGCCGCTTGGCCCCTTCTGGAGGGCGCTCCGCATGGCTGGGAAGTCGCGAATCGCCCGTGTGCTGCTTGTCCAACTGTACTACATCCCTAGGCTCCGCAGCCGGCCGGGCCCGGGTTTTGGCGGGCCTTTCCAGCTCGTTACCATCTTTTAGAGGGCGTTTCGCATGACGAGCAGAGAGTGCACCCTCGGCGTCTTCCTTGTCCAACTCGATGATATGCTTGGGCTTTGCAGCCGGCTGGAGCCTGTCCCTGGCCGGCGTCTCCAGCCCCTTATCTGGAGAGCGTTCGGCATGGCTAGCAGGACGTGCTGCCGGTACCGTGGGCTGAATAGGGCGTGTCTTTCTCGATTGGGGACGATCCTTTGCGGGTATCTCCAGCTCTGTGACATCTTCTAGGGGCCGTTCTGTATGGCGATGCCGTGCATCGGCGGTGTCCTCGTCCAGCTCGATAACATCCCTAGGCTCAGCAGCCGGCCGGACCCGGCCCCCGGTGGGCCTCTCCAACCCCTTGCCGCCTTTTGGAGGAGGTCCCGGACGGCCAGCGTCAACCTCGGAAGGGCCTTCTAGATGACTAGTAGGGCGTGCTGCTGGGGCCGTGGGCTGAACAGGACGGGACTGGCTCGGCCAGGTTAGGGCGGAGCTCCTCGGCTGGGAAGAGAGACAAAGCTTGGTCCCAAACAAGTTTTGGGCATAGCCGGCCTTGCTTGGGGGTGATGCTTCCCGCCTCGGCCGTTTTGCAGCAGGCGGCGTATCCTCCGCCTCCCTATGGCGCTGCTCGAAAGGCGACTCGGACGGGACAACGGCCCTGCCGTGGTGGCCGGTGGGCGTTCCCAGAAGCTGGCCTAGGGGGCGGTGGCGCAGCTGCTGAGAGTGATCGGCCGGCACCTGGCGGACGACGGGGCGCGAGCCCAAGCCGGCGGCAGACGCCGCGGGTGTCCTGGCAGCAACCTGGGCGGCGCGCTGGCTCTTGTCGAGCGCCCTCTTGTCCAGCAGCTCCGAGAGGTCCTGGTCGCGGCGGCCGACGCACTCGCAGACCTGGACGATGGTGCCGCCGCGCTCGAGCTGCAGCTCCTCGCCCTCGCCAAAGTCGTAGTCCTCCCGCCAGTGGGCGTCGCCCACAAAGTTGCCCCGCTCGTCGTAGACCATGACGCGCTGGTTGAAGGCGTGGAACTTGAGGCGGCCATCCTGCCAGCGCTTGTGCTTGCGCTTCAGATCGTGGGTGAAGAGGCAGATGTGCTCGAGGACGGGGGCCGTGCTCGTGGGCTGGGCGGGTGTGTTGGCCATTCTGGGCGAGGGTGACGGGGGCAGGGCAAGCATGGGTTTTGTGGTCAAGTCGGCGACCAGGCGGAACCCCTCAGGACGCCGCGCTTAGAAGGTCGGCATGGGTCGCGTTGATTGATTGAGCCCTCCCGTGAATAGCGCGTCATCAGGTGACTCTCTCAGCACAGCTCCTTGGTCGGTGCTAGGCAGCCAAGCTCCACATCAACGCTTGGTAAAATTCTTGACCACCTTTACTGCGTCAGCCGTCTTGCTCTCATTCTTGAAGATGTACCCCACATGACCCCGACTCTCGAGACGGCGGCCCCCTCGTCCCGCCCTCGTGTCGCATGCGATTTGGCTCCTTTCCCACATCGTCCCGATCCTCGTATTATAGTAGAACAGGCCCGGGAGAATATCAATTGGATAGACAACAAACCTAGAATCTCGTCGGCCAGCTTCCACCACCATCCACTTAGACGAGCCGAGCCATTCCTACGAGCCGAGCCATTCCTACAAGCCAGCTACACAACAAACAGCAAACAGCAAGCAATGGCGTCCGAGGCACCCGGCGCAAAGGCCGAGATCACGGTCGAGTCGCTCCCGGCGCTCCTGGCCGACGACACACGCGTCAAGGTTGGGGGCGTAGACGTGGACGGCATCCTGCGCGGCAAGCTCGTGTCCAAGAAGAAGTTCCTGTCCATTGCCAAGGACGGCTTTGGTTTCTGCTCAGTCATCTTCGGCTGGGACATGCACGACACCACCTACTTCCAGGAGCTCAAGATCAGCAACGCCGAAAACGGCTACCGCGACATCATCGCCGTGCCCGACCTCCAGAGCTTTCGCCGCATCCCCTGGGAGAACAATGTGCCCTTCTTCCTCGTCAGCTTCTTCGACCCCGACACCAAGCAGCCCGTGAGCGCCTGCCCCAGGGGCCTGCTGAGCACCCAGCTGGCCAAGTTTCAAGAGAGGGGCTTTGGTGCGATGGCGGGGGGTTAGCAACGTCCTCCTCCCTGTTTCGCCCAGCCTACATCGTCACTAACAACCCAATATCCTTTGGTTCTATATCCTTAAACAGCCGAGTACGAGTTCTACCAGTTTAGGACACCGTCTCCCGCAAGCACTGCCGAGAACCCCTCGACAGCCGCCTATCTCCGCGAGAACCCACCCCATTCTCTACCGTCTCTGACCGAGGGCATGTTTGGCTACAGCCTCACGCGCACCGTACACAACCAGGACTACTTCTACGACGTGTTTGACACATGCGAGAAGTTCGACTGCAATATCGAGGGCTGGCATACCGAGAGTGGACCAGGCGTGTTTGAGGCTGCACTCGAGTTTGGTGAAATAAAAGGCATGGCAGACAGGGCGAGCTTGTTCAAGTAAGCGACTGCTGGAAGGCGGATCCTTTGGCACTCTTGACTTCTCGGCTGACAGACTCGCCGTCTTTTAGGTACGTCGTCAAGTCGGTCGCGACAAAGTACGGCATCACCCCCTGCTTCATGGCCAAGCCGAAGCAGGGCCTGCCGGGCAACAGCGGGCACATGCACGTCTCCATCATCGACCAGGCCACGGGCAAGAACCTCTTTTACCGCGAGACGCCCGACAGGAACGCGCGCTGGGCCGACATCGAGCACCTCTCCGACATGGGCCGCCACTTCCTGGCCGGCATCCTCGAGGGCCTCCCGGACGTCATGACGCTCGTCGCGCCGACCATCAACAGCTACAAGCGCCTGGTGGAGAACTTCTGGGCCCCCGTCACCGTGTCGTGGGGCCTCGAGCACCGCGCCGCCTCGGTCCGGCTCATCGCCCCGCCCACGTCCAAGCCGGGGGCCACGCGCTTCGAGGTGCGCGTGCCCGGCGCCGACGCGAACCCCTACTTTGTGCTGTCGGCCATCCTGGCCCTCGGCTTCCGCGGCGTCGAGAGGAAGCTCGAGATCCCGTGCCCGCCCCTCGGCAAGGGCGAGGACGTGGGCGGCGCCACCACCGACATGGGCATCCGCCTGGCCCGCAGCCTGCGCGAGGCCAACGACCGCTTCACGAGGACGGGCAGCATCGCGCGCGAGGTGTTTGGGGACGAGTTCGTCGACCACTACGGCGGCACCAGGGACCACGAGATCCGGCAGTGGGACGAGGCCGTCACGGACTGGGAGATGAAGAGGTATATAGAGACGGTCTGAACGCCCGTGGGATACGAATCGATGGTTTTTTTGGATACGCCGTGCGGAGTACTGTTTCCCGCCTGGCGCCCAGTCTTGGATTATGGTGTACACTCGCTTGTTCCTTTATGCGGTCTAGTCGCTCGATACCCCATCTGCGCGCAGCTGGAGCTTCACGTAACCAAGCGCAACTCTTCTTGTCATAGGACTGGGCTTTTTACGTGTAGCGTTTAGTATAACCAAGTTCTCAAGTATGTTCTTATGATCGTCTGGCTGTTTCGGTTTCTGAATTCAACTTTGCTTCAGAACAGGATTACCTCTAGCACCCTAAATAGCTTCGTGGAGAATCGCATATATACCTAAAGATGCCTTCCGAATGTGACAGACTAGGTGAGCGATGTGAAAGCACAGACCTCACCCGAGACCAGCAGATATGGTATACAACACGGAGCAGCCGTACGAGGCCTCCCTTCGATCGAGCACGAGGACACAGCGTCGAGCAACGAAGCCCATGATCGGCCGAATACGACGTAGGGCAAAGACCAGTCCCCTCCTACCAGCTCCTCATGGGCACCACACGCTCCCGGGTGGCCTCGACGCCGTTCCACTTCACCCAGACGGTGCGCACGCTCGGGTGCTCGCTGACGGCGGTCGCCCACCTGTAGAAGCTGGGCGCCTTGGCCTCGAGCCCCTCGATTGTGGAGGCCGGGATGACGCCGGCGGGGGCCAGGGTGAGGAGGCGGATGGCGAAGGGCGCGATCAGGACCTGGAGTGGTAGCAAAAGGAGAGTCAGTTCCCCCAGCAACAACTACCTAGATACGTCATGTGTACAAGCCAGCGGGCGGGCCATTTTTTTTTCTTCTTTTTTTTTTTATCCTCGTGTTTCATACCTCGGCCATGGTGAGCGTCTGGCTCCCGCCAAAGAAGGGTGCGGCCCCGGCGAGCAGCGGCTCCATGTGGGCCGCGATGCCGGCGTTGAGCTCGGCCCCGGCCGCGGTGGCCTCCTCGAGCGTCTTGGAGGACACGAGGGCCCGGATGAAGAGCGGGAAGAGCTTGGCCATCCAGGCGTCGGCGAAGAGCGCCATGCGGGCGCGGGCCAGGGCCGCCTCGGGCGTGCCCGGGGCCGGGAGGAGGGGGTTCTTGACGCTGCCGGCCGGCTGGGAGTCGGCCAGGAACTTTTATGTGAGGGGGGCTGTTAGTTAAGGTATTTTTCTTCTTCTTGTGTGTGTGTGTGTGTGTGTGTGTGTGTGTGTGTGTGTGTGTGTGTGTGTGTGTG